CCGGGGGGGGCGGCTTGTTTTACAACGTCGTTGCCAAGCGACGAAAACCCAACCCCGATGGTAAAACAACGTGCTGGGGGGATGGGGAATAGGTCAGCGACTCTTTCGCGTATTTTCCCAGCTCCAGACGTTTCCCTGGCTTTGTTTTGCTCTCGTTGGTAAAACATTAATCCCTCACAGGATGTGCTGTTCGTTGTCGTCGTCGTGGCCTGCCCCTTGCAGGTACAAAATGGCCTCTTTCACCATCGGCCGGTCGCTTGTCGATTTCTTCCTCTAGCGTGAGCGCCACAAGAAAGTGCGCACAGCGCTGCTCGACGGACACTTCATGTAGGATGGCCACCGAAGATCAGGCGGACGAGAACCTTGCGCAAGTGTGGGCGTCATCGATCTCTACCAAGAAGGAGCTCGTGCCCGCCATAGCTGAGGTAGGCTGACATACAGTAGTAGGTCTTCCTAGAGCAGCAGCAGGTTCGCCAGTCACCGGAATTGCACTGGTGTACCCGCACTACGCCGTGCACTTTTTTCAGTTTGTGATAAGCTTGGCTGTGGGGAGCGCGGCGGGCTGCACGCTGGCGGTTGACTTTAGTAATCGGCGGCTGTCATCGAGTTCGACGGGCAACGCAGGCGAATATACCAACGATAGCGTCCATACTAAACACCCTACGTGGTGCTGCTCTTCGCTGAAGACGTCTAGCTATTTATGGTTTCAGCACTGATCAGTCTAGGTGCGTAGATTAAACAACATTGTGTCGTCGGACGGGCGTCGAATCCCCGCTATGACATGAGAGATAAGTGCGACTCTTCCGCTTTTCTTCATCGAGTGCTGCTGATTTCATTTCAAGACAACTTTCGTCGTAAGCCAACCTCGGAGAAATATTCCAACAAAGAAACAAGGAGCCCTTTGGGTACGACTCAAACCCTCGACTTTCTCAATGTCGTGCGCTTGACATAGCTGGTGCAGTTGCCATCCTCTCACCGGCGAATCTCTCTGCGACTTTCAGGCGGCTGCTAAAGCTCTGGCGCAACTCCCCGAGGGTGCGTCTATTGATCTGGCGCTGATACACGTGTCGAGTATATACGGGAACGCGGAGAGATTGGAGTATGTGGTGCCAGAACTCAGGAAAGTGTTGCCCGGGCTAAGCGCAGTTGTGGGCTGCAGCTCGGCTGGAGCGATAGGCATGCAGGGCAAAGGGCGCGTTGTAGAGGTGAGCAAGGGTCTTCGGGCAACTTCTCTTGGTTAGAAACTGCGCACCGAAGAGCACAGATGGGCACATCGCAAGCTTCGACAGCACTGTGCGCCCTATAGGGTACAACAATACGTGACCTGGCTTGTTAGTGACATGGGTACGGTAGCACTCTCTGAGATTCTACTACTTCCGTAGAAACTCGTGGGTGATCATTCAGCAAAAGGTGGTGAGATTTGGCCACATTGCTGTCGGGCGTATGCAGCCCAGGCCACTCCTCCATGACCTTGTTTCAATCTATGCTTTTTTCTCTGACAGGTTCCACGTTTATGCACTGCAAGGATACGGTTGCGCTTGCATTGACGGCAACTTGACTAAAACACTTTACTCCGCTTTCTTGCCCCCCCGTTGTAATCGCTAGATAGAGAACAGATCCTGCTTGGGGTTGACCCTAGCCACTTTGCCGGGGGTGAAGGTTCAACCGTTCTACCTCGCCGACATGGACGTCCCTGATCCCTTCGATCCTCCGGCAGTCTGGAAAAGAGCCGTTCAGCTTCGTGACTCAGACATCCCCGCGACAGATGCAGGCGGGGACGCGGGGGCACGTGGGAAAGCGGGGGTCGGAGAGCCCATATTTCTGTCGTACTCGACCACGGCTTCGATCGACGCCTTGGGGGACTATATGGCGGGCATGGACCAAACATTTCCTCGGTCCCAGAAGATCGGATCCATCGCATCAACGGTTAGCAGGTGATGGGTGGCCGGTTGAAAACGCTTGAACGTATAACCTTTCGTTCCCACCTTTTGGCCATGCCCCATCTTTGTTTCTTCGCTGTCTTCTCCGTCCATACCATGGTATGCCATAACCCCTCTCTCGCCCTCACGTGGCAACGTTAGTATTCAAATTGCGCGCGGCTACTCGGCGGCACCTATCCAATCTTGCCCCCCCCCCCCCCCCCCNTTGGTTATTTCTCCACAATGAAACGCACGACGCTAGTCTGACAAGGTCTTGCGTGTTCTTTGGCGAGGGTGGGACGGCTGGGACCGTAATGGAAAAGGGTGCATTCTACAGGGAAGGCATGGTCGGCGTATCGCTCACGGGGGACATCCGAATGCGTTCTTTCGTTTCTCAGGGAGCGAGGCGAGTAGGACCAACGTTCAACGCAGACAAGGTATTCTTACTCTTTCAGCATACGTTTTTTCCGAATCTTTCCTCCAGTCCTTCGACTCAGAGCTGAAAACCACATGGGGATGGCATTTGTCTATTTGTGCTTCCCCACCTCCCCCCGCCCCGGTGATTGCCATCGGGGTTGGGTTTTCGTCGCTTGGCAACGACGTTGTAAAACAAGCCGCCCCCCCCGGTGTTTGCCATCGGGGTTGGGTTTTCGTCGCTTGGCAACGACGTTGTAAAACAAGCCGCCCCCCCCGGTGTTTGCCATCGGGGTTGGGTTTTCGTCGCTTGGCAACGACGTTGTAAAACAAGCCGCCCCCCCCGGTGTTTGCCATCGGGGTTGGGTTTTCGTCGCTTGGCAACGACGTTGTAAAACAAGCCGCCCCCCCCGGTGTTTGCCATCGGGGTTGGGTTTTCGTCGCTTGGCAACGACGTTGTAAAACAAGCCGCCCCCCCCGGTGTTTGCCATCGGGGTTGGGTTTTCGTCGCTTGGCAACGACGTTGTAAAACAAGCCAATTCACTTCGTGAACTCGGCAACCAGGTTACCGTTTTTTTTTTTTACCTCCGTTTTTTTTTTTGGCGGTAACCATAATGGTGGTCGAGTAGATCATGTTGTGCGGGGTGGAGAACCCTCACTCCGCGCAAGGGGGATGATCGCACCACGTTGTGTTAAAATGGTCAAGCACCCTCGAGGCAGTTACACAGTGCTTACAACTGTCTCTGGAAGTGAAAGCACCAGAAAATAAATTAAGTCATACGCAGCTGTCATCCGTACGCAAGGAAGTAAGCACAAGATGCCGAACACCCTTAGCAGGATGCAGCGCACCCTTCATGCGACTCGCCGAATATCTCACGGCGCTTCGCGCTTGGTGATGTGAGAGCCTGGTCCGGTGAGAACCCGGCGTGCTCCGTCCCGGCTTTGTAGGGATGCGAGGTCAATGGTCTAACGACTACGGCATGCACGACTATGAGTCCCCCCCCCCGCCCCCCCCCCACGCATCCCCCCCCCGGTGTTTGCCATCGGAGTTGGACTTTCGTCGCTTGGCAACGACGTTGTAAAACAAGCCACCCCCTCAGAGCCTGGTCCGGTGAGAACCCGGCGTGCTCCGTCCCGGCTTTGTAGGGATGCGAGGTCAATGGTCTAACGACTACGGCATGCACGACTATGAGTACACCCCCCCCCCTTTCCGCCGTCTATCCCCACCGACCAGTTCTTGCATCTTGTTTCCCCTGTATATGCCGCTTCACATGATCCCCGAATCGTGATGCTGCTTTGTGTACAAGATGGTATCACGTGGTTGAGAGTGTCGGTGACTCGAATTAACTTATTATTCGCCCTCCTCGACTGTCGCCACAAGGTGGATGGGCCAGTGGTGAAGAGCCTTCGTGTCGCGGTAAGGGGAGCTGACGACGAGGGACAAGACGATTGGATAAGCCCTGCACTGCCGCCGCTAGCCATGATAAAGCAGGTATGACCCGGCGCTCCGGTTTTGCATGTTATTTTTTTGTATGAGTGTTTGGTGGTAACCGAGCAATGTTGCAACCGAGAAACTCGGAGCCCATCTCGTTTTTATCTACTGTCCTTTGTAGAAGAAAGCGGCATGCTTTCATTTACGTGCGCATTCATTCGCTCATGGTTTCGATGTGTTGTACACGGTCTCAACGCTAACTGACCGTTGTCACGTAGCCTTGCTCTATTACGGTCATGATGAACTTAAATTGTGAAGAATGTGACGGGAAATGGGTGGCAATCACACTCATATCCACCAAAGCGCCACCCACGATGTCAGTCGGGGCCTCTCAAGTGACGCCGCTTGCCACAATTGACACGGCAATCCACAGTTGTAGCGTAACAGAATCACCCTGTCACAAGCCTTTCCATCCCCGGTAGTACTACTAGCAGCGTTGTTCACGAACGTAGCGCGCGCTCGGCCCCTCCAGGTGCAGAAGAAGCTTTCCGACGAAGATAGCAGGCTCGTGCAGACCAACATGCTAGTCGGCGTCGCACCAGAGCTAATCGGGAACACGGCCAATGAGATGATGGCAATCAGCACCGGGAGGGACCACTTCGTGGTGCAGGGGGTCCTGAGGTCAGGCGGCACGCGCGTGTGTGTGCAGAAGCGCGTAGCGCGGTGTCCAAACCAGCAGCACCTTAGAGTAAGCGCGCCACATGTTCGCATTAGATCCCGAACGTTGCACGCTACACTGGCTTTACGAGGACCCTATATGCAGCGATTTTACCGTTTCACCCAACAAACGTGCGTAGGTGTTCGCCCGAACACGTCGAGCATTCGTTACTCTCCCACCTTTGAATTTCTCCATGCTCTTGTCTTGCAACCACGCAAAATGGTGCACGCTTCATTTCGTTTTTTTTGCTTCGCTGCGATCGTGATCGGCAGAACTAGCTTGAAAGATGGCTCGATTACCGTTGGAGACTCCGTCGAGCCGGGGGCACGCCTCCAGCTCTTTGTGCGAGACAGGTACGAAAAGAACAACCCTTGCTTCGAAGCCTGCGGCGATCATGCAGATGTCTTTTGCCGAGAAGTCCGGGCCAAGCCTCCAAGCGATGTAAGTTAACTCCTTTGATTGACCATGGGTGGAAATACTTGTGTTGACGAACGACGACGCACGTGTGCACACCCCAAATATCTTCCTCGATGCACCCAGACTCGCTGCGGGGGACGAGTTCCAGGCAGCCCTCTTGGCTTACAAACGCCGTGAGCTATTGGAAACCCTGGCGTCATCATCCGGGGAGGGGACCAGCGATGCAAGGGACGGAAACGGCGACATCGAAGAAGCTACCCAGAACGTGGGCGTTGTGGACAGCGCGGTCTCGGGGCCGCCCTCTGCCGGAGATGAGGGGCAGACGACGCCGTTCCGAGCGGCGGGGGCGTTGTTGTTCCCTGGCTTGGATAGGGGACGGACTCTGTGGGAGGAGGACCACTACCAAAGCTCTGCGGTCTTCAAGACGGTGCCCGTACCGTTGGGAGGCTTCTTCACCAACGGGGTGGCAGGTGAGCCCCTTGAAAGAGGAGGGTAGACGGGGGTGAACCGAAGAATAATATCACGTCTATGTCGGGAACCAGGGAAGATGGAACATCGATTTGCAATGAAAAGCGGCCTTTGCTTTTGGCATTGGCGATGGTGTTTTAGTGCTGAGGAATGAAACATCAGTACATGTCATGTACGCTCGCTGCAATCGCATACCATACATGGGACAATCTTCAGGGCACCCCCTTAGTTCCTACGCCCCGTGAGAGCTACGCGGCTACACGGCTCGCATCTGTACATGTTGATAACACGCGGTGCTCGAAGATGTCTGCCGAGTCACCTATGACTCTGTTGCTCGTTACTGGTCGCCTTAGCCGTCTCTCGCTCTCCTCCGTATTCTCCTTCTCCCCCTCTTCACTCACCACTCCCAGGTGCTTTGTCTGAAGGATCGCGAACCACTCTTTTTGGATCTAGCACATCCGTGGCTGTGTTTTCTCCCATCACTGCCCGGCGCACTACCGTAGAGCCACGGGAGGGATCGACAACCGTCGACGACGGGAGCGACGCACGTGAGAAATTTTATTTGGTTGGTCCAGGTGCTGTGTCGTTCATCGCACTTCAAACGAAAATGGTTCGGCGCGTAAAAAGAAAACATTGGGTGTGTGTCAACGCAGCCTGGTTCTACATGTGATAGGTGCTGTTCGTGTGCGTTCGTCCGTGACCTATGCAGCACAATTTTTCAGTGTTGCAATGTTGCGATATCCTCCCCCAAAGGTCTACTGGTGTTTTGTCTTGCTCCAAGATCGCATAATATATCCGCGGCACCAGCAAAGGCCTGTTGACCGATATGTGGTGATGTCACAAGTCTTGTGGTGGCCATCTCTGCGCGATCGATGCCGAAGCAGTTGTCCGTAGGTGTGTTGCCGGGAGACGAGGCTTTTCCTCCTTTTGTTAGTCTGCTGACTGACCTCGTGTTGTCCCCGGTTGTGCACAGGTGGTGTTGTCGTTGGCGAGGATGGGGAAGAAATCCTTGGGGACGATAGCGACGACTTCGTCGTGCAGCGCCGTGACGTCAAAGCCGGCCGGGCTGTTCTGTCGGGGCCTGTGCTCTACAGCGTCGCCGAGAGTGTGGCGCAACCCAGGTGGGTGGAAATCAACCACGCGGTCCGTCCTTATCTGGCGTAAGATTTAGGTCCCGTGAGACGAGAGGCATGGGGAGACGATGAGGACTCTGCAGGTACATCCGAAGCATCGTTTCTGCGCTGATGGATCGTCGACCGCACTCTCTTGGCTCGTGTCTCGCGCCAACATCGGTGTCGCCTCGCTCTGTTGGATTATGAAAGGGCTTGGGTTTGCAACCAAACTTGCGGTAAATCCTTGTTACATTGGCAACTAACTGTCTTGGCTTCCTGCTCTTCTTACCTTTCTTGTCGTGGTTTGTGTGAACATTACCCCGTGCACGGCGGCACGTCGGCGATCTACTGGGCGCGGTGGTGTGGTGGTGTGGGGTGTGCAGGAACACGCTCGAGGCCTTGGTCTGGGAAAAGGAAGCGGCGGTGGACCGCTCCCGCGACCGTTGGCCGATGAGCTTGCTTGTCAGCCGTTGCCGGATGTTCAACCTCGAAGAGAAGAACAAACCCAGGGATGTTGTGGCCGCGTTGATCAACGGAAAGGGGAATGGCGGCGTTGCCATCTTAGCCGAGGTAGGTGACTACAGGTTCCATGGGCCGTGCTGTCGCAGTTGTCGAGCGACAAAAGGATGATCGGGCGCCTCGCTTGTCGTACCTGTTCGGAGTTTGGGCCGAAGCTGTGTTTGTCAGCCTGCATCCGATTGTGATAGGTTATGACACGCTGAACGCACCCAAAGCATATGCAAACCGCAGGTACCTATCTCCTGCTGCATCCGTGACAACGTCGTTTTGTGCGCTTTTTCTTCCCCCTGTAGGTTAAGCGCACGGCTCCAGTGACGGGGAAGTTGCGACGTGGAGAGTTTGATGTGGTGGAGTTTTCTCGATCCCTGGAAGGAGCCGGGGTGGCAGCTATTGCTGTGAACACAGACCCCAAGTTCTTTGGTTGTTCCTACGAAGATCTCACTAGCATACGGGTAAACGATCCCGTCTGTTTATGGGAAAGAGGAGAGAACCCGCACCTTGTGGACCATTGTGGTTCGGGATGCATTGTCGTGTTGTCTCTCTCTGGCCTTTTCGTCACGTCGGATTTGATGTGGTCGATGATCGATCACCTTGGTCCACAGGACGACCGACCACTCCTTTAGCGTCTTGTGTGTTGCCGTCTTTTCGTTCTCCGTTGCGCGCGAACGACAATCAGAAGTCACCACTCTGCCCTTCCGTGTGCTGATGATTGCTTTGTTGTGCAGAGCGCGGTGACTACTCCGGTCATGTGCAGCGATGTGGTGGTATACCCGTACCAGATCTACCAAGCGAGATTGGCAGGGGCTGACGCTCTCAAACTCATCGCACCGGCTCTTCCGGCGAAGGTGGGTACTGCTGCGGAGTACGGCACACTGCGTAGCAACACCGGCTTGTGCTGCTTCACGGCCGTTTTGTTGTTTCTGTGGGGATCTTAAACAAAGTCAACTATGAGGAGGCACGTGACTGGGCGTTGCGGAAACGTGTTGTAAAAGTAGAAAGCTACACTACTCGAAGTAGTATGGTTTTGTCTCGAACACCGAGAAGAAGTCGTGTGGGTTTGCGCCTTTTGTCTGGCTTTCATGTGTCATTTTTCACGCGTAGAGTGCAAATGAACCTAGGGCTTCCCCAAGACCTTGCGTAACGACGGGGGTAGGATCAGCTCTGAATGATACTTAACTCCCCCGCGTATTCCCTGATCGCAGACAATCGTCTGTCGCTGTTATCCCTCGCTGCTGTGCTCTTGTTCATCCAGGACTTGATGTATTTTCACAAGATTTCCAATGCGCTAGGAATGCAGTGCATCGTGTCGGTGAGTTCGGCGAAGCAGATGCTCATGGCACTCAACCTGCCTGGCATCCGAGCGGTGTCCATCAGCAACCGGGACATGGCTACATGGGCCTTGGACACGTCTCGGGTAGAACGAATCTTGGGGGACACAGAGGGTGAGAAAATGATGTTTTTGAGTGAATGAGCGATATATGTCATCAGGGGTTTCGAAGGCGTTTGTGCACGATGGAGACTATTTCAATTATTGGCAGGTCTTACTGTGCCTTGAAGTTCCCAAAGGCTTTCCCCAAACTTTGCAGGGATAATCAAAATTTTTGCAGCCTTGCAGCCATTACAAGTTGTTGCCTGGTTTGCCTGGTTTGCTCATCTCGATGTTGCAGTGCAAAAAGGGCTGGAAGGGAAGGACATCACTCTGCTCGTCGAGGGCGGCCTGCAGACGAAAGGAGATCTTGGTGAGCATCAGCATAAGCGTAGCTTGTACTTTGAAGTACCCACCCCAATGTGATTTCCGTGCAAATTTTCCCTCATCGCAACTGCTCAAGGTTTGCACGTTTGTTCCTCGCGACGCTGGTTACAGATGGCGGTCGCGAACCTACAAACCTAGAGCTTGGATTCAAGCGCTTATGGCCCCTCGCCGATGAAATCCGTGTGTACCACGAAATTGATCTATGATCTATTGCTTGTTCGCCGCTGGTTCAAGTTTCGCTGAACGATCCGTCTGCCCTCCCCCCCTCTTCCCGACGTTGTCTCGTCAGACCGCACGAAGGCCGCTGGCATCTCTTGCGTGGTCGTAGGGGAAGCGTTTATGCGGAGCGAAGACCCGGCAAAAGCAGCACAAGACCTTCTAGTCTAGCGTGTGCCTCTGCTGTGATAGGGAGAGGTGCTCCAAGATGCGAAAAAGACGATCAAGGATTATCATTAACTAGACTATTTTGCTAGGTCAGGTCCGAGCAGCAGCTTTGGTTCTTGTGGACACTGGGTAGGTTTCAATGCGTGTTTCTGATGTTATCTCGCAATGAGTTCTGCATCTCGTGTTCGAGCCATCGAAAGTCGTCCCGAACGGTAGGTTGTGTAGTTCTAGGGCCGCAGGGGTGGTGAAACCTACCGAACGGTCTCCAGTTTTTCGCCGATACCGTTCTCGCTCTTATGTGTAAAAGGGTATCGAATCAGCGCACACGTCTCACCAGATTCACAACCGTTGGCGAAATGCAGGCAATCTCCGTCGTTGCTTTCCCAACCGAGTTTCAGTCCATTACTTTCACAATCCGAGGCGGACTATTGCAGTCCCCCTTGAAATTTAATGGATCCCTCTCGAATATATACACACGAGGAAGCCAGCCCTTGAAACAATGAATGACCCTGTGTCACAGGGTTTAGATGTTGGGCGTACACCGCCGTAAAGGCCGATGTGGACTACCTCAACGTCCGAAACTCCGCCCCTACAGCTCTCATTAACTCCCTTTTATTCGGCTTCAAGGTACACCCGTCGGACGATCTGTGGAGGTCAGGATATGAGAGATTCAGGGAGCGCAGATACACGCACATAAACAGTAGGATCTGAGGGAATATGTGATAATAGATTACTGTTCTCGAGGGTCCCCAACTCTTGTGATCATCAATGGCTGCAAAGAGTTGGATCTTTAGGAGAACGGGAATAGGAGTCCACGAAGGCTCGCCCACTCTCCGCACCACCCTAGCTTGACTGAGTTCGCTCGGTCACGCTTGGCATTCCTCGCCACATTGCACAAAAGGATATTGCCAACCTCCGGTGGCAGGACATAGCCACCACAATCCCGGACTCTCCGCTCACCCAGAGTAGAGGGCGTTCATATTGGCGTTCGACGAAGCGTTCTATCTTTGCAACCAACGTGTAAAACATGGACTCAAATCCAAGGAAGCAAGGGAAGAAAAAGAACGAAGGGTCGCAACAACAGCAGCAACAGCAGAAAAAGCTTAAGCAGCTGACGCCCAAATCGCCAGCAACGCCGCGCCCCGACGATCAACTGAGAAAATGGCAAATGCCTGTAAGCTAAAGGTAGGCTGTCATGTTGCTATCGCTGGAGAGCTGGCGTTCGTCGTTTGTTTGTTGAATGCAACGTCTTCTTCCTCGTCCTCTTCCCTCAGCCGGCGCTCGATGGCAGCTCGTTTGTCCGCTGCCAAGTCTTCGGAGGAGTGATCTTCGCTAGAAGGATCCCAAACCTGATTCGCCCCGCCCATGCACGCATCATTCGTTAAACGCACGTACGGCCGAGAACACGAACGAGACACCGGCTGTGACGACATGCTGGTTGTCCATTGATCAAAAACGCTCATTACATTTGAATCTTTCAACAATGAATCACATACGTGTTTAACCAGGTGGCGGATTTGTTTCAACACGTTTCTGTGTCGAGTCATGCCCCAATAGGGGTAGTTCTTCAGGCACATTTTTTCATCTGAGGAACCTGTCCGTACTTTGGCAAAATCTTAGGATATCTGACAATTTTCAAGTGATGTGCCGAGCCTATGGAATTGTTTGTCGTGTTGCACCGTCACGCGTCATCAACGTCTTTAGTTGGCTGAGATATCGAGTTCGTCGCTGTTGGGATCTCAGAAAGGCTTTGAAACCCCTGTCGTCGGCTGGTAAACCTCCGTAGGCCGGAGGCAATAACTTTCTTGTACGTTGGGTTGCAGTGCAGTCTGCGTACCGTATGTTCCACGGCGCATATACCCGCTGGGTAAATATTCATATCCGGGCAGAGGCGACATTGTAACGGTTATTACCTGTGCAGTGTCGAGTTCCTGCTGGATCTTGTCCTTGAGCTCTCTGTAGTTGTAAGCAAAGTTCTTATTAGCCTCTCTTCTGTTGTACGTGACTTCGATGGCCATGAGGAAGTTGTTTCTTTCGTCGTACTCCACCACGACCTTCGGCTTAAACCCCCCCCAGTCTCCGGCATGACGTTCCTCGTACGTTATCCTTACCTGCGCCACACGGTAAAGATTGCGCCATTGTGTATTTAAAACGTTACCTACCGCAGGGTAGCCACGAGTTTGTTGTAATTGAAATGCCGCTGGAGAAAAGTACCAGCAATTTCGTTCTGATACGCTGGCGGTTGCTAATGCTTCGTTTCCCTGCTCCCTCAACCGCGTCTAATGACGGAAACATTCTTGGGAGTGGAGAACGAGTACAGAAAACCGGGATAGAAGTTGTCTGCAGTGTTTACGCTCATCTCCTGAGCGATAAGATCTATGTAACGTCTAACACACACTAAACCAGCAGCTGTGGTCGACCAGGATGCGCAAGATTGCCACACAACGATTACTGTAGTCCCTATCCTAGAAATCCCTCTTCAACTGCAGTATCCCCTCTTCTAGCATTCGCTCTTCCAGCAATCTGAGGCGTCGAGATGAAGTTGAACGGTAGATTGTCTTCACTTTAGCTATTCCACGAACGCACCAGATCGTTGCTGAGGTCAAAGTTTCGTTCTTCCAGCGATATGGCTTTGAACTTCAGCCACGCCTGAAGCTTGTCTTGGAATACCTGCGTCCCCGACCAATGTAGACCCAGCCAGTCGCCAGAGACGCGAGAAACGAGAAGATGAATTTCAAGCTGGGCTGATGAAGGAACCTCGGATTATTGATTTTGGCTGTCAAGGAAGCAAACTAAAGTAGTCTAGACGGTCAGACTAGTAACGCACCCGAACCCCCTTCACTACAATTTGCCCAACTCCGTCATCACAACGATATCTCGAGCCTTGCCAGAAACGACTTCACTGCACCTTGCGGTAGAATCGCGTTCGAATGGTGGTGAGCCCCTGAGATCTGAAGTGCATCTTCTTGAAAACTCTCCAAACCAGCAGAGCCACTAGTCCCCACACTAGAAGCGATATTATGAACCACAAAATTGGAGTACTCTGCAACGAGTCAAAGACGACAGGGAAGGGTTGGGCATAACGAGGTAAGCTGATGTCAGGGGACTGTGTTCCGAGGATGGCAGCGATTCTTAGAGCCGCTTGTAATGGAAGGTGGCGGGTTGGGTTCATGCTATGACTGTCATTACTGGGCTACAATAATTTGCAGTAGATACTCCAGCTACCTTTTCCTATTTCGTTATGCTTTTAGGCCAATCAGTACATCAAGCTCTTCAGAACTACGTAATATTGCTTCGATTCCTCGCGAAAACTCAAGTACTACCTAAACGAACTGGCTCCATCACGCCTTACACATACTAGTATTTACCCTTGGCAATTTACCCCCCAGCGCCGTACCTGAATGACAGCCACATAAAACGCCTGGAACCAATCAGAGTTGGTCACAGTCCAGTCTCCCGTCAGACGGTCCAACACGTCGAACGCCAGCATGCCGGCAAACATCACCAGCAAGATCTAATGGCGCACACGAGAGGTTCACGTAGAGTCCATCATCCGTTAGTCTACGCAGCAAAATCGATTAAGCAAACATACGGGATAAAGTATTCAATCCGTGCTTTGGGGTTAGGGTTAGGGATAGGGGTAGGGTCTGCGTGCCCCCTCCCTGTTCTTTTTCTAAATAATCTTAAAACCCCGCGTAGGCGGTCCCCATCATCACACAACAACAACGTCGTCGTTGTTCCATGCCTCATCTGTTCGTTGAAATGCCTACCGTACGTAGCGTTCGGCCCAGTGGAAAGTGTCGATACTATACGAAGTAGTATTGTGTTATGGAAGCGACACAATTGATTGGTGCGATACTCGCATTCAAACAAGGGTCGGGTGTATGGGCTACTGCTGTTCGTGTATTGTAGAATTGGTTGGAGATATGCAATGCAAGACTTCAACTACATAAATAGCGGCGAGCTGAACGTTGGCAACAATGGCGACCATACAAGGGGAGCCAACAAGGTGATCCTCTGTAGACTCACCTGGAGCGACTTTGCGGACTTGTCACTGCTCTCGTTGAGGTTACACAACTTCTTGGTGTTCATCTCCAAGCTCTCGTTCAGCCGAAACATCTTGTTTTCGCTCACCTGGTACCGTACGAAATCATCAAAGTTCTCGAGAGCTTGATTGTGGTTGCCCGATTTGTCTGCATCAGTTTCGGGTTTTCCCTTGCGTTTTCGCTGCATTCCCGGAGAGTCATAAAACCACGTCACACAGCACTAACAGCCTCTGTCGAAAAGGCGATAGGTTGCAGTGGAAGACGCCGCGACTATCAATGCAGCAATATGTTTTTCAGATGATGTCTGCTGTGATTAGGGGTGGGGTACTTCTGATGGAAAGCCCCACGCAGAGTCGCTGGTACAACTGATGCTCGCACCATGGCACCGGTATGGCTTTTGAAGGACGGGATACACTTACCACCGCGCTCATTTCCCGTAACACATCCAGGTACTGTTGAGATCCGCTAACATTCTTCTTCAAGTCGGCGGATCTTCGCAACAGCTGAGAACGCATGCCAGATATTTCCAATCGCTCGTACAGAGACCGCCCCGCTTGCTCTGGTGGTTCCGGGGGAACCTGTACACCGCGGTAGAGAGCAATGCGGCTGTTACACGACCAACGACTGCCATGATACCAAGCGAAACAAATCCAGCCGTTCGTCCAGGTATCGACGTGAATCGATGAAATAGAGGGATACGGTTGCTTGTACCTCAATGACGTCCAGTGCCTCCAAAACGTAGCCTAAAATTTCCTCCAGCACGATGATGTCGTTTGACATGGCGCATATTCGATACCTGCACAGCACAACGGTTGTTTATTTTGCCGAGTTAGGGTGGACGGAGTAAGCTGCCGTGGCAGCTATTGTCATGCACATGGCACTACGTTGTTTTGCTTTCGGACGCAGGTAGGGAGAAGTGCGACTAGTAGCCGACAGCAAGACCCTGCTTGTTTCGTGCATTCCTTCCTGGAAATGAAGCTCCTCGTGACCCACCTGATGCGATCGAGTGCGGTGGGGTCCGTATCCGACGTGACGATAATGTCGTATGTCACCTGCCACAGCAGCGGTAAATGCTTTGAGCCCTTTCAACGAAACAAAAACTGCCGACGGAGGAACAGCAACGCATCGCTAACACATCTACCACTTACCAAGTGTAACCTCCACGCAAGACGCTTCATTTGCCATTTTTGTCAGTCAAGTAATCGTCTCTAGTCGGTCAGTCCAGGTTGGAAACAACGCACGTTCAGGAGTCCCGCAAAATGCCATACCTTCATGTCATCCGTTAGAATCCACAATCGTGAAAAGTAGTTCTGCAGAAATATGTCAATCGTGATGAACTGGAGGTACGCGCACAATAGTGGCTCGTGGTGGCGGGAATTCGGCCCCGCGACGAGCAGCCCGTGCCCACCAAAGATGAGTGTGTCGTGCTCACTGATGTCATACGCCGCCTTGTGTCGATGAGCGAAAATATACAGCATCGGAGGAAGCACATATCGATCAGGCGTTTAAGACGACTTGGCCCACGCTGCTTACAGTGTGCCCCGCTTGAGTTGGCACCCAGAGAGGATCAAAGTATCGGTGCGGGTCGAGGCTCAAGGTCTTTGCCGGTCGTCGTTTGTGGCGAAATGGCGGCGTCTTGTCCTCTGTACTGCCTACAGTAGCCTGCCAATTGTCTCTGCGTGGTTCTTTTTCTTTTTTGTTCCTCCGCTCTGGTCACATGTCCAACATCTCAAACTGCCTTGGTTGTGTCTCTCGACCTCACAGCTGTTCTCTCATCACAAAGTATCAACGGCGCAGATCTCGCAGTCGGAGGTGCCAAGGCGTTGTACATTCCCCCGGCCCCTTCAAGCGAGAACCGTCACCATGCTGATATCATACGATACGTGGCCCTAGCGCAAAGGCAACTACACCACACCGAGACGTGCTTATTCTCATTTGATTCCTTTTCTTTCGCATGTGTGTCGTACTTTGTGGCCTGGTGTATGAACTCTGACATTCTTCCCTAATTATCACTGTTCGTCGCACGTGGCCTCGTTTCCTTCACGAGATATCAACTGCAGGCGTCTACTGTATCGTAAATATGAGCAAGAGTCGCGCCGTAGCAGACAGTTCACTCAAAGGTAGTGTTGAGACACCTGGCTTGACGCACCCTCGAGTGTGTACAAAAAGAGCGCAAACTTACCCCACATACTACCAATACCCGGGGATATGTCCTCACGATTGAAACGCTCGAGATTTTCGTCGTGCGTTCCTATCTCGCGTTCAGCTTGAATCCGACCGATCACCTTTGTGTCCCCGATGACCTGCTTTAGTTCGTTCTCATATTCGCCCTTGTCCATGTACTCCTCCGCCGTCAGGTGAGGAGTAATCTCATTCGCCATGATCAGGTTTACCTGTTCCGTAATACCAACAACGGTCAATTTTGTCGTGTGGGTGTACGACGCGCCTCCCGTGAGCGACGATACAACCACCAGGTTGCGAGAGCATTGTCTGGTCTACGCCTACAAGGATAGCGCTCGGGATGAGCGATACTTACATACCCGAAGTAGCGGACGTGCCTATTTGGTGAGGAAATCAAAGTAACGAAAGCACCAAAAGGTTTAGTATCTGTGACAACGTAGATACATACCTTGTTCCGGTTTGGAGCGTCACCAAGGAAAATTAGGTTGAGGAGCTCGCGCTGGTGCTGCGATATGATGGAATCAACGATTCCCGACGAATCTTGCTGCACATCCACAAGCAACCGGGCCATGTGATCCAAGGAAATGTTGTCCTTGATTCGATCCATCACCGCTTCCACCTGCGGCTCGGAAACAAGTAGATCGAACAAGAACATGCAAGATGCGCAGTTGTAGAAATATTCGCGGAGCAGCCAAAGGCGGTAAAAAAGGGCATGGTATTCCACAAGCTCAAGTTAAAAGAGACATAGACCGAATCCGTCGTCCAGCACTTTCTATCTTGCCCTGTAGAACACATCGGTTTTCCCGTGGTCATTTTCTGCCCCCGTTCTGTACCTGCATCCCGTAGAAGCATGTGCCCTCAGCGTTTAGGCTGACGCCGAAAGTCTCCACCTGGACAACTCCGCTCTCCTCGGCAAAGTTAATCTCCGCCTTAGCAAATCAAACGGAAGGCGAACAGTATGCGGAGAGAAATTACGCTATCGGCGAGACTGCTATCGACAAATTCGCGTGGAACTCAGATTGTTTGTAGTCGAGTTTTAGGTGAGTGTTCAAGTTTCAGCCCATATGTTCTAATGCTAACTAACATGAACGATTTGACAGGCGAAAAGTTCGCGCGATGCATTTATTTGATCGTCGTACATGAACAAAACTGCAGCCCCGAGACCAATACCTCGAAGTTGATGTGGTTTGTCAGCGTGTAGTCTAGAATATCCACGCTCGTTAGCTCCGGCGACATCTCGAGGTCTGTGCCGGTGGAGTCGTCATCAATAGCGGGAGATATGAATCCTCCTTGGCACCTCTCCGTCGATCCTACGCTGTTGTTGAGGTTAACGATCTAGAAATCGTCCCGTTTCCAAGCCGTTGGTCGGAGCAGACAAAACGCGGAGAAATGGCGTAGCGGATCCGATCGATATCATGAGAGGTTTGTCGGCCAAGGTTTTCCACTCTCAAGCAAGATTCACGTGTCTCGTAGAAAACTCTCACTTCCTCTGGCGCAATGGTGCTTTGACCAATTGCACTAGATACTGTTGTCACCAACCCGACAAAGTCACCGTAGGATCACCTCGCAATGAAGAGTACTGACCTGGTTGGCTCCGAAAGGAATATACTCCGCTACGATGATTGACACGGAATTGAGGGTGATCACTTCATCCAGCTCATCTCGGATGTTGTCCGTATTCACCCCGGATTCGTGCGCGCGATGTGCATTCGAAAGGGTAGGCCGACCGCCGTATCGAAGGCACTGTGGCACGTATGCCGATGACACGTAAGAAACGTCTTCCGTTTCTGTGATCGTTGACTTGCGCCTGTAACCTGCTCGATTATCAAACGTGGGCAACAATGGCCAGTTGATGCGTTCTATCTGCATCGGCCTGGCTAGCACATTGAACGCCCCCGACAGGGTTGGCGCTCAGCCACAAGCACAACGCGTCCACAACTAGGTCTTGTTACTCGATGGGGCCGGAAACATGTACGAGATGGCGCTTATATTCGCTGACTTGTTTGAAGAAATTACCTCCTTTTTTTTGGACCAAGGGCGGAGCGAGGCTCTGCATTGGAAGTCACCTCTGAAAATCGTGGGGTCGCGGGCGATTGCGGTCTTTCCTGGAGGGGAAAGCCTCGATAAACGTTGTGATGACTCGGTATTGCAATACTAACCTGATGCACTCTCCAACCAATACTCGTTTCCGTCCCATCGGACATGTAGTAACTCGCGAGTCCCCCTTGCGTACACAAACTCGTGCACGGCCTCTTTTTCTTTGCGCGTGATGCGCTTCACCAACTCCTGAGCACGCCAATGAGGGAGTGGGGTGACAGTCAAAATGCGCGACCATATCATGCGCCTACACACACTGAACGTGACCTCGATTACTCTCGGTTGTGGTGGATATTCGTGATGACCGCACGCACATGTCCAATAGTTCGTCAACACTAGCAACAAGCTGTGCCTCACGTCAATAGGTATGATGTGCGGAGCAATCACCGACACAACCTGAAACAATAACCCACCTTTCCTTTCGGAGATATCTGGTAGCAGGTTATTGGCTTGTAACTTCTCGACGATACATGTAGGCCGTTTACGAGCTCTTCCTCCCGGAGAAACTCCATGTCCGATTTACCCTCCTACACGCAAGTGGAAGCAGTGAAATTACATTTTTTGAATGCATGCCACGGGGTTGCGCCCTTGGCAACATCGAGTGATGATTTCACACGCGGTACTTCCAGATAGTGCCGGCATCACCAAAAACAGAAGTGAAAAATGCTGACACCACACACGGGAACTTAACGTCGTTTTCAGCAGGTACGCATTTCAGTCGCTCTAACGAGGGATACAACGGGATAACCATTCCCCCAAAGAGCACCGTCTCTACGTGCTGCTGCTTTGTTTCAAACTATGATTGACACACAGTATCAGAACTAGATCAACAACAACGAACGCCTTATGAAGGTTTCAGATGACAAAGAACATGCTGAGCACGAAATCAACGTTCTTGAAGGTATAAACGATAGCCTAAGGAAACGGGAGCAAACTGTTGGGTAATAATATCAATCGGGAAGCTTCGTTGCGTTGTACCAAACACATAGTCCAGGACGATGTTCATTGTCTCACTTGGCTGACGTTCATCCATATTCGACGATTTTCGATCAGCTCAGACTGTGGCGCGTAGTCGAAGTCAAGGACATTTGCGACAATGCCTTCGTACAACAGCACCACTAAAGCAGGCTTTCGCAGCCAGTGGTCCCTGTCACCACGGGTGTCGGCCTTGTGTGTGTACAGGGACACCATGTAGAGGAGACGGTTCTGATTTTCGGTCAATCCCTGTGGTGGACGGAGAAAGAAAGACCGAGGCCGAAGCGGCTTCGCATATAACCTGAACACACCCATGCTCATTGGACACGAAATAAGCGATGCTGTGGCTACGCCTCCTGCAGCTACCGGGCGACGAACGGGCGTCATTTCACCCTTGATTGCAGTGCTCCGATGTCAGCACATGATCTGAGAGTGAATGTACCAATAGAAGACACGGTTCAACGTGTTTCGCGGACTATGATCATGCTACATATACGTACATCGGTCGCTCCGGTTGTCTAGTGGGTAGCCTCGCAGCCTACTAAGGGCCCGGTCATGGGTTCGAGCCCCGGCAGAGTGAGTTTTTTCTCACTGATTAAATCCTGGTCTCCGTTGGAAGCGACGCGTTGCAAAGCTCGTTGTTAGTAAACCATAGTAGAATTCTCATAAGTCGCGAGGGAAGGCCTTCTCGCGATAAAAATACCTCATGCAGGAACCGCAGGAGGGGGTCCAACCCCCCCCTCCTACGTGACCCCGGTTGGGTCGTCTAGCTAGTAGAAGTGGAGGATGGGGGCCACAGGGGCAGACGACAGAATTCAATGATGGGAGAAAACTGAACTTTCGAGGTGCAAGAGGACGACAGGAGGCTGCAGGGGACAAGAAGTGCATTGGCGATTCAACATCAATGACCTGGGCGCGGAACCTACACTCATGGTACTAAAAAAAAGGAAATGCTGGCACCGAACGATCTGATGGGAGGTGGATTTTACACAGGTAGGCAAAACATACTCGACAGAAAGAGGAGCTCAAGAGTTGACAATTTGGTTATACATCTACTGCTGTAGTGTTATGATATTTAGAGGTAGCTACATGATGGTGCGTTACCAAGTTCTTGGCGTGATCAGGTGTTGTTCTAGACGTAATGCAAGATTCCGGCTTCATGCAGAGTCATGTGCTCTGTTCGTGTGTGTGAATTTTCGCTTGGTTTGTGCTGGCTTCCGGCTGCATCGTGTACACATGCGAAGACGTAGTGGAGCGTTATCAAGGGGAGAACAAAGGAAAACAGCAACAATATGTATCTGTGATCAGACTACAGTACGAAATTCCACACAGCTTCGAGGTGATTATAGCGACGAGATGCACATCACATTTCTGAGCCAATCTGTTCCAGTCGAACAACACATTTGTTATTCAACTCCAACAAGATCTTCGCAACCACAGCAGTTGTGTTCCAGTACATGTGTAGGTCAATATGCTGTTGATGGTAACTGGAGTACCTTCACAGCAGTATTCTAACTTGTAAGTACGAAGACACTGTTTTTTCTCATTTGCTCACTGTATCCTCCTCATCATCTGCTTCCGACTCCGTCTCCGTGTCAGAGTCCTCCGCGCCCGAATCGGTGTCAGGTTCAGTCGGCACCTGATGCGTGAGAGGGTTCAAGAGCTTGTAGTGAAAGTCAAGCTGTAAACTATCCCAGGGTTGTGGTTCCTCAGGATCGACGAGAGGGACGCCATTGAGTTGCACCTCGTGTGCATCGTGCTCAAGTAGCTCGTCCGACTCATGTTGGTCGTCGCGTCGTGAATTTTTGCCTGCAATAAACGCGAAACACAACGTTTTGCTTACCACTCTCTTTTCCTTCTTCTCCGCCATGATGCCTGTAATATAAGCAGCACGTGTGTGTCCTTGTAGTGCTCTCTCCGTCTCCCTGTCTTTTCTGGATCCACTCTCGACGTCGGAGATGTATGAATATACGTTGGTCCCCCCCCCCCCCCCCCCCCCCCCC